ATGTCCAACATCATTAGTCACTAGAGGAAATAGTGTGTATCTTATAGAGTTAAACCACATAATTCGCCCTCCAAAAAGAAAACACATGTCCAAAATAAAATTGAGTTCAAATGTTCATAGCAGTTTTTCATAATAGCCAAAAACTGCTAACAACCCACACTGTTGAATATATAAGCCAACTTTAGCATTACCAAACAAGGGAACACCATTCAGTAATAAAAAGAGCAAATTTCTGATACACCCAAATGTTAAATGAGTCTCAAAAGCATTACGGTAAGTAAAAGAAGCCAGACACAATGGCATGAGGCAATGTGATGCCATTTAAATGCATTCCAAAACTCAACTACTGGAGCGCTGAGAAAACTGACTCGTTTTTTCCAAGAGCCAGGAAGGGTGAGGACACCTGACTGCACAGGACAGCCCTCTGGGCTCAGGGAGCACAGGTGTGAGGCAGCGTTTTTTGTCGTAACCGCAGTATATGCATGACTGTGTACATTTGCCAAAAAGCATACTGCACTTTTAAAATTAACGCATTACATTATACGGAATCATCTCTCATTTTTCAAAGTGCTTTTTACTAATTACTAATATATATCACCTAATTTAACTCTAAAAATCCCTATAAACAAGAATCAAGGCTCAAGAGCCCCGTGACGCACTCAGAGTCTCACAGCTGGTACGTGCAGGGTGGGCACACTCACCCTCTCGCCAACACATGCCCACGTGGGCTGAGCAGATGCTCACAGAGAGCTCGGGACCTCCTCCGGCTGCGGTACCGGACGTGTCCGTTTTGCTAGTCGTAACTGTAGACTATTTGGTGTCATGAATCAATCTAGTGGACTGGACCTTTCTTTTTTTCATGGGATATATAGGAGTAAAAGGAGTAGAGAGGAAGGGAAAGAAAAAGATCAGAGTTCATTAGGCTTTTTTGTTGTTGTTCCGTCGCTAAGTCGTGCCCGACTCTTTGTGACCCCATGGACTGCAGCACGCTAGCCTTCCCTGTCCTTCACCATCTCCTGGAGTTTGCTCAAACTCATGTCTACTGAGCCAGTGATGCTATCTAACCATCTCACCCTCTGTCGTCCCCTTCTCCTCCTGCCTTCAGTCTTTCCCAGCATCAGGGTCTTTTACAAAGAGTCGGCTCTTCTCATCAGGTGGCTAAAGTATTGGAGCTTCAGCTTCAGCATCAGTCCTTCCAATGAATGTTTGGGGTTGATTTCCTTTAGGATGGACTGGTTTGATCTGGTTTGACCATTATGCTTAGAAACATTAAATATAGGTTCTTAAAAACTTTTGTTTCAACAGAGAGAATCTGTGTATGTGTGCTGGGCTACAAACTAAAGTGTATTTCTTACTGTGGATCCTAGTCAAAAAAGCTTGAAAACCATTACTGCAGGCCACACAAGGGATTACAATAGTAATGCTGGCTATAGCAAGATAAAAAGAGAGAGGAAGATCAGCAGGAGGACTGCACTTTAGACAAATGGTTCTGAAGGACAAGGGAGAAAAAAGCAGGTCAAAAATAACCCCTACCCCACAAAAACACCCAGGGGACACTTTGATGGAAAACTTAGCATGGTGACATACACATTCAATTTCATCCAGCTTACCTTTCACACTTGGCCCCTCACTGTCCTCCTCCCAACCTTTTTGTCTCTACAAGGAAACCTTTCTTTTCAACCCAGGTATAAACAAAAGAGTGTTGTAAGCTAAATTACTTTTTTCACCTTTATATTACCCTAGCACCTTGAACAGCATTTTATACACAGTAGACGCCCAGATATTCATAGAACGAACACTGTTTAAAGTATATTAATTCTGCCTATGGACCTCAAGGCTACAGTAATACTCCATTCTCTTAATCCAACAGTGTCCTATGAAATTTAATTCTGACAGTAATTTAAGAAATAACCTTGAAATGTGAAGTACTTTTGCAAGCCTTTAACAAAAAGCAACCTAAGATGAGTTTCTAACATTAGTGTTTCCCAGCATGTCTCGATTAATGTTTTTAAAATATTGTTATGCAAACACATGACTACATCAGACATCATTCCTATATGCCTTCTCCAAAGTTCTGCCCCAAAAAAGTCTATTCACGTCAGGAAGTTCTATATTAAAGGCATACATGCAACATATGTTACAGTGGTGGGAAAGTTTAATTAGAAAACACATTGCTAGCAGACATCAAACATCAGTGGCAAATGCTTCCATACGCTGCAACTCATCAGAAATAGCTTAAAGAGCCCTCAAAGTATCCAGCTATCCTTTCTCTCCTCAAATCTCTGCATGATCTGTGACACACACACACACACACAAAGACTCAACTGCAAATGAATCGGTCACGCCATCCCCTGTCCACACAGGGAAGTATCTCTTACAGCACGTAGATAGAGACAGAACTGAATGCAGCAGCTCAACATACTTTAGCTTAAATGAGACTCACCAAAACCCTCTGAGGAAAGTGGAAAAGGTACAGAATTAGTCCTGCTTTATGTGTAAGTGAACCATCTAAGTGACCTGCCATGGTCACAGAGTGAAGAAGTGGTGAAGTTCTGTCTTCCGAGGGACTCCTGATTCCACGTCCACTGCTCTTTCCACAGGGCAGCAGTCAGCAGTGGCCGAGAAGGGGCTGACTCAGGGTCTCCTGCTCAAGACAGCCATGCTTCTTCTCTGGCTTCCACAACCCTGGGCCAGTGGCCTAGACGAGGCTGCCTGCTCGAGCCTCCCCTGGGAGAGAAGGGGAACAGGGAACCATCTAAGGAGAAAGCAGGCAACAGTCAGTGACCCAGGCAGGTGTCAGAAAGGCTGGGAGCAGGTCCTTGTCAAAACTGCTCCACCCTGTGGAGAGCCAAGATCCATCTCTGGAAAGCCTGCCAGTCCCAAGCCAGGACCAGATGCAAGACAAACACAATACCAGGCAGGTTAGCAAAACCGAGACTCACTCTTTCATTTGTTCAACAAACTGATGAAAATACTTAACATGTGCCAGACAACTTGTCTGGAAGTATTAATAATAAAAAAGGTTTAAACTAGTGAGAAAGACGGATCATAAATCATATACTGCTTTGACAAAAATATGCACAGAGTATGGTAGAGCCCAAAAGTTCTGACCTTACAAAGCCAAGGGACAAGGAGAAGGAGGAAGGTGAGGAAAAGAGGCAGGAGGGAGAAAGTCTTCCCTAAGGAGGAGCCCATTAACTAACAGAAAATCAAAGCACACTGGCTTCCAGCGCAGTAGGCTGAAGCCACTCTATAGCATGACCCTGATTCTAGATCGTGGGGTAGAGACTGAGGGTTGGCAAAGCGAAAAGACAGAGTAACAAAACAAAGATAAGGGCGGGATCTGAATGAAAAGAGGGAAAAACCAGAGAGTGTCCATAAAATGTGAACAAGCCTCAAGAACATCATCACAGAATGCATTCAGCAACAGAAGGAAGCAATGACACATGCCACAACATGGATGCACCTTGAAAACATCATGTCAAGTGAAAGAACTCAGTCACAAAAGAGCAACAGATTCCATTTATATGCAATGTCCAAAAAAGGCAAATCTACAGACAGAAGATAGACTGGCCATTGCCTAGGTCTAGGTGCGTTGGGAATAAATTGGGAGTGACTATTTTTAGGTACAAGGTTTCTTTTTAGGTTATGAAAATGTTCTAAAATTGATTGTGGTGATGGTTTTACAGTTCTGCAAATACATTAATACTAAAAAACCACTGAACTGTCCATTTTAAATGGGTGAACTACATACTATATGAATTATATCTCAGTAAGGCTTTACAAATATACCACGTTAATTCTCATAAAAGATCACACATAATAATCACACATGGTTTTACTGTCGGCCTTAAGAAGTAATCTGAAAGTTAAGTCAGCACAGCAAGTGTGTGGGTTTGGAGTGAGGAGGAACAGGTCTTCAGCCACAGCTACACCACTGCCAGCCGTGCGTATGTGGGCGAGCTACCTACTTCAGTTGGCTGAGCCCCACTGCACTCAGCACTAAATAAGGACATCACCCACCTTGCAGGGTGAGAAGTTATACCCAAAATCTGCATTACTGCTCAATATTACCACCATTTCTGAATATTATCCTATTAAAAAAAATGTTATCCAGAGAAGTTTATATAAATATCCTTTCCTTAGATTCTACCCAGAGGAGTAAAATGTAGAATTCTAATTCAGTTTTTTAAATCGTGCATGTCCAGATCTATGTCTCATTCATCTTTGTATGCCCCCTGAACCACGTGCCTAAGATGGTACTTCAGATTATCAAGGTGCTTTTTGAGTGCTCACTGAATTCTAGTTACTGTCTCACATTTGACATAATGTGAAGCTGAATTCAAATCCTCGTTATCAGAGTGCTGCACTTGGCCCTATAGCATGCTTCTGTATTATTGATGTTACTGTTTATCTGAATCTTGTCAGTCTTTACCAGTAACCTAGAGTTACATTCAAAAATATATTTCTCAGAAAAATTTATTTGGATATATAAAAGTCTATAACGGTGCTATGAAGTTTTAAGTACTTATAAGAAAGCTTATTATTTTCAGCATTCAGAATATAGGGTAAGGCATATCTAGTTCTCTCGTTTTCCAACAAAACTTTAAGAATATATCAGTGATATTTTAGTCTGGCTTACTTTAATTAGTAACTACATATTTTTGAAAAGCTGACATGTCTTTAGCTATCTTCTGTACTTCTTTTTGAAGTGTGTAATTCATCCCCAAAGAAAGAGAGCTGATTTGAATGATTCCAAGTTGATTAACAACTTGTTATTAAACAAAAATTTTTAATTAACATATTGACTAGTCCCTTTTACTATTCAAAAGCAACAATGTAATATATTTCACCAGTTCAACCTTTATTTCAGCACTATAAAGAGTCCGTTTCCAAAACATGCAATGTGTACCAATCTTAAAGGTGCTAGTGGAGCACACCATCACCGTAAGAGGGTTAGTGAAGATTCACAACAAAGAAAACCGCAAGGGTCATCTTACCATGTCATCTGTCAGCGTCCTGATATTTAAATGCTGCAAATGAAAGAAATCAATCATATCAGTAATTTATAACAGTTTTTTAATTTTAGTTAATAGAGTACATTTAAAATTCTACAGTGTTAAGTTGAATATAATTAAGTTCCTGACAGTCTAATAAAAATGCATTATATACTGTTTTAATCGCTTTCTCAAAAAGATGGACAAAAGTTACCTTGAATGTGATAGTCTCCTAAAATTTCTTGGGTTTGTAAACCTCACAAAATAGAAACCTCACTGTGGTACAATAAATATATTCTCCCAAATAACAGTATTAGTTACCATTAAGTATACAGACTTAGATGGCAATGGATGTAGGAATTTAAATAAGATTTTCAGAAAATTTTTCAAATGATAAAAGTAAAACTTATAATCTGCCATTAGCATGCAGCATAATAGATAATGAAGTACTTTGCTGGCTTAATTAACTTAAACAATTCCAATAACAGAGAAGAGAGTACTGGCATAATGACTATCTGCATCTTTAACATCAGTTTGATTTATCACCAGTGGTGACAGCAGACACTTTTCAATTTCACTGCTACTTCTTTGAGAACCCTTTTGCTGATTTCCTTGCTAGACAAACACTAGGCCACTTTAGAAAGTGAATAAATTGGTTTCCTGCAAAGTGGAGTGCAAGAGCAAAATGAAGCATCTGGAGGAAAAACAATCCCAAGTTTTTATAAATTCTGGAGTTGGGGAAGATTTTGTACTCAAGTAGCTGAAGTCAGTTTCCGCTTCTCCTTCTTATTATTCTTTGTAGCATTTAACCTTTAAAATGGTACAGAAAGGGCCAAGCACATTTCCTAAACAGGATATCAGGTCAGGTCTATGGTAAGTATAAAAGGACATATGTTAGCAGTCAACATCTAATTCTGGAGTAGGAAATGGCAACCCACTCCAGTATTCTCGCCTAGAAAATCCCATGGACAGACAAGCCTGGTCAGTTACAGTCCACTGCACTGCAGAAGTCAGGCACGACTGAGCGACTAACACTTCATCATCTAATGGAATAAGTAGCACATAGGTAAATTCAACATTTATCGACAGAATGAAATTTATCATTCACACTTGTAGCACGAGAATTCACCACTATGCTCATGAATCTATTCTCAATGACAATTCAGACTGAAAATCTGTACAGCATCAATCACTACCCTGGAGTCCTCTCCCTTCCAGAGATGCTCTTTCTCATAAAGCAGGAGAAACGGGGATGGAAGGGGCCCAGCATGAGCTGAGTGTACGCCAGAGAGCACGCAGCCGAGCAGGTGAGCATGCCACTAGGCTCCAGGCTGAACTGCCGGGTCAGCAGACCACATCCTCTGGGCTAGGAGCAAACCAGCAAGAATACGGGATTAACGAAAGAGCAATGCTGAAGCCTGGGCTGTAGAATTTACAGTTGATCACTACGAAATTCAGCACTGAATTAACGAGTACACACAGGGGCCCGTGAGAGCGGGAGTGGCCCAGAGACCAGGACCAGAATTAAACCTAGGTCCACGTGGTCCTGAACTTGCAGAGAAAGGAGCAGCGGCAAGCCTGTGTGGGGCCCCCTCCTCTAGCTGCCAGCTGTCTGTGCGCCCTCCCACCAGCAGAGGCTCCCAGCCAACAGCACTTGGCTAACCACGCGTGTGTGGCCAGGAGCTTCAGGCGTGTCCGACGCTGCGGTCCTGTGGACCACAGCCCGTCAGGCTCCTCTGTGCATGGACTCTCCGGGCAAGAACGCTGCAGTGGGCTGCCACGCTCTCCTGCAGGGGACCTTCCTGAAGGAGGAATCCAGCCCATGTGCTGTACGTCTCGTGCACTGGCAGCAGGGTTCTTTACAACTAGCGCCACCTGCAAAGTCCTTGGTTAAACATACCGCTCTTATTCTCCAACTAGAAGATTTAGCCCAATCGCAACTCACGTCACACCTGAAATTGGTCATTTCAAGTTCATCTGAGAAGAAAAAAGGAACAGAGCCAACTTCTGATACAACAGCATTCTAAGCGGCCTAAGGCTTGGAAAGGAAGGCTAATGAAAAGCATCATGCTGAAGTCCTATCTGGGAGAGTATGTCTTAAGAAAGTGAAAAACTGTTACTGACACAAATAAATAATCCCAAAATGCCAGTTTGAGTTGTCTGAGGAAAATGCCATAAAGTGACGTTAAAGGAAAGGGAAAAAACAACAGAAGCACACAAACAATTTTAAGAGAAACGGGACTAGGACCTATGCAAGATTTATGAACTAAAAACTGCACAGAAGATAAAGTACAGAACATGTAGAGAATATAGGCTATACGATATAAAATTCAGAACATGTACATAAATAAGAGGAATATTTTTATCTACCTTCAAAGACCTAAAAATAGGACAGCCTTGTAAACTACAGTTGGACTCATAACTTTCAGAAAAAAAGTCACTCTTGAGTAGAAACAAGACACATAAAGATTCACTTTTTGGTAATAGTTTTTTTTAATGTCATTAAATTATTTCAGTAAGGGTCTAGCAACTCAATTAATTTGTTAAATGCTTGGCCTGTTCTTCAAAAACTATACAAGCATGCATGTAAGTCCAATTACAAACTATATTATTACAATCTTTCACAAAAAAGAACATGTGATGTATTACATCAGAATTATAAGGCTTACACAGAAAAGTAAGATTAGTCAAAGCGTGGGAAGAGGAAGTTTAACAGCCTGAGAGATGATCAAGAAGCTCAGGTCAGGTTCATGATTCCGTCTCTCCTGGAACACACTGATCTATCCGTTCTCCCTCCAGCAGGAGAAGCCAGTAGGCAACGATGGCAGCAAGGTCCAGGGCCCATGACAGGACGAGAGATGCTGACTTAAAGAAAACACATCTGAAAGTGTTGGCTGCTACATCAAAACAGTAAAGACAGAATAAGCTCTACTTCAAGATTCAGCTTACAGAAAACAGAGATTATATAGCTATTTGTTCAGCCAACACACAATCTGAAAAAAACCACTAAAGACAAACTAGCTCTAAAAAATCTGAGTAGATAGAAAGGTGAGTATTTTCTCCTAAAAAGTTAACTGTCTAATCACAGTCCATTTCAAACATGATGAGGGGTGGGGGAGGAGAAATACTAAATATTTAGTGAAAGTATGTACAGGTTAGATCTAGTGGCATCTTTTGTAGGATCTCTGAAAACCAATTATTAATTCAAGTTTATTATAAAGTTTAGGTTATGTCAAAGTCCTACATGTTTAGATTACAGACTTCTAAACAAGTGGAGAGAGGAGGACAGAATGACATAAAAGCCTCAGATAACTGGAGTTCTGGCCTTGCTTCTGTAGATACAAGACTACAAGGGTGACATCCTTAATTTAAAAAAAAAAAAGAACTTTATTATATTATTGCTCTTATACTAGTGCGTAAAATACTGTTTAAATGTCTGGTTAACCAAGACACTTAAAGAAATGAAGAAGTATTTGTTTCATAGCTACCAGCATGCCCCTGACTACATCCTCTGGTGGCGAAAACAGGAACGGCCCCATCAATCCAGTTTATGAGCAGAATTTGCTGACATCCACACCAGAAAGGAAACAGGAACATAAAACCACTAGTAAATGAAATCGAATAGGAACACTTTTAAAAATAACAACCTGACAGCAACATTAGGGTTGAATCTGCAGGAGTGGGGGTATAAAGTTAAAAGTACAGAATGTTAGACCTATTAAAGCATTTACACCTAGATGTGGCTTTATGACCTTTAGTTCCATTATCTGGCCTATGATTCTACAGGTGTCAATGCTTTATAACCACGGGATAAAAACGAAAGTGGTGATAATATCAAAATACAAGTAACTCTGAAACCAGGACCACTGGTAACTGGTTAAGGTGTGGTACTTGCACCCTGGGAGTCTCTTCCTCAGCCAAACCTCACCCACCTTCCTGCGGTCTGATGTATCTCAAATTCCTAATTCTCTCTCTCCCTAAAAAGCAAGCAGCTCTGCATATAGACAGGCCTTCTACTAACAACAGCTCCTAGCATGAATGGTCAACAAGATCACTCTGAAATTGAAAGAGAGAACAAGTCTTTAAATATTTTTCTTCAAAAGAACATAAGAATCAAAAAGCTGGGGTGGGGGACACAGAAACACAGAACACAGACTTCTATATTCCCATTTAAGCAAGGCATCAAAACCTTTATTGAAGACAGCACATGCTGTCAAAAACCAGACCTAGAGTTTTCAGAGTACTGTGCAAAACGCTGTCAATATCAAGAGGTATGAAGAACAGTCCTTCTCCTACCAACTTAGTTAACAAGTAACAAAGACCAAATAAATTATGTAATACAAAGCAACACACAAAGCTCTGAGGTTCACATGCAATGAGAAAAATATTCCAAACTGTAGCCCAAGGCTCTTAGCAAATTTTACATTTTCTTTCCTTGGTTGGCACTTGTGGGTTAGCAGGGAGCAAGGGATCTGTCTACTGATGTCCTCAGACACATGAGGGCCCACCAGGCATCAAGCTAGCAGGCTCAGATCACTGTCAGCAGAGTCAGAGCGTGGAAATATTTTAGAACAATTGCAACAAGCTGTTGCAATTAGTTCTATTAAGCTTATACCGCTTAACTGGCTCATTATGAGAAATTACCAACAAGAGGGAAACTGTAAGACTGTAAAACTTGTGAGTCTTCAAACACAAGTGACTCAGACCCAACTCTGATAAACTTGACCCTCCAGACCAGCTGGTTTCCAGCTTGTAGGTGTGTGCAAGGAACACACCAAGACCTGCTTTGTAAAAGCAGGTGACAGGCCTCAGCTGCTGACGGTCCTGCTACAGCAGGTCTAGGGTGGGGCCTGGGAACCTGCACACTTTGGGGCCCAAGAGAACACTGCTGCAGTGAACCCAGGACCCCATCCCACCACCATCAGCATTAAACATCCCCGGGGCGGCATGCAGACCAACACCCTATCCCACGGGCCGTTTAAAACCCACGTCCCTGAAACAAAAGAACAAAAGGGTGCAGAGAAGAAGCACAGAAG